TTAACTCAAATTTAATTCAACTTAACTTTCCTCAACAGTATTATTATAATTCAATAATATCAAAATCATCATCACATCACATCCCCCTATATATTATTAATCCATAACGCGCTGAGCCTACGTGGCTGCTTCTGGTGCTTCGGAATCCTATGTGGCAAAATTACATGTTTCGTTATTAGGCTTGAGTAAATTTTCATTTAATTCCAAACCAAAAATAATTAGGTCCGGATTACCATAAATATGTTGATTATTTATGGTCATGTTACATGCATTATTTGCATTTTAACATCATTCCTTATTATAACTATTGAATTGTATATGTATTTTAAAAGTTTATAACTTTTGTATTTTTTTATCAGTATTACATATGTAATATATCAAATTAATCTTCATTTGATGAGCTTCGATTTAACATCCATATTGTATGTACAAAAATAAATAATTTATATTTATCTTTATAACAATAATAAAATTATTTTTAATATTAATTAGAAAAATAAAATTATTTATCAACTAATATATTTATATTTCAAGTAGTTATATGATATAAGTTATAAAAAACTAATATAATATAACACATGTAAGTCATAAGTAACACATATCATTCTAAAATATATAGTAATATATTTTTTTTTGTAAAAAAGTAAATTAAATTTAAATATATTTTTCTCATTAATTTTGAAATTTAAAAATAATTTTTTAACAGGCACCCGTGTAATACACGTGTGTTGTACTAGTCAATTTTAATTTAGTATTCATCAACTCATACAATTTTAACTAACCATCACTACCAATCAAACTTCTCCTACTTTACATCAAATCAACTTTCATAATTATATTTTAAATATCATGTTAATACTTTTTTTTATCGTTAAATAAATTTGTATTGATCAAAACTGAAAGTCATACAACCGAGACGGCTATCAAAAGCGTAGTGGGTAGGCACATGGCTGCTCCTCACTCGCAAGAACCAAAATAAACGAGGGCAACCACAAGCCGGGTGCTCACTCGAAGAAGGGAAGCAATAAATTTCCTCTCTTCAATATCATCCAAGTGTTCACACTCATTGCAACAACCAACCCAAAATTTTTCAAAATTCAAGGCCAAAACATCTCATTTCGAATTCGGCAAGAACACTCGGGTGGGTAGGTAGGAAATATCATGTTAATACTTAATACAACTCGAAATATCACATAGTCACTCACTCTTTGTTTGAAATAGCTGTGAATTAGAAAAAAAAAATAAAAATAAACCAAAAAAAAACCCTTCCAATCACCCCTAAAACATTACTTGAATGGAGTTTAGGGTTTTGTACACTGGCGATTGAAACCCACGCCGTCGCCAACCACCTAAGCCGGCATTTCTCCGCCGCCGCTGTTTGACGCATTCGCCGTTCAGTAACAGAAAGTAACTGTTAACTGTTGCAAGTAGTTCACTTCGAATTAGAGATCGGGCACAAACATCATGTGGTATCTGTGCGTATTCTTCCATAGATTGTTGGAGTACAGGAAAGCGGAGTTCGAATCCCTCGCCGGTCTCTTCACCGACGGGGACGGTGCCTCCGAACTTCAGTGGCGGCTTCCGGAGGACCACCACCCGGATTCACCTTTCCATTTCGTCAATCTTCCTTCTGAAGAGATTGCTTGCAACATTGCTAATCGAAGTATGTGTTTTCACGATGTTCGAGCTTTTGTTTGCCGTTTTCTGGCAATTGGGTTTTATCTGTATTGATGTTCGAGCTTTTGTTTGCCGTTTCTAGCAGTTGTGTTTTATCCGTATTGATTTCTCATACGGTCCATTGCAACAAATGGGTCTCAGGTATTCTTGTTAAAGGGATATATGAACTTTGGGGAGAAGGGCGGAGTTTTGAGGAGCTGGAGGAGACTATCAGTAACTATCCTGATGACCGGAAGTTGCCGTACTTAACTGCTGAAAGCTCTTTCAAAATTATGGTCGAAAGCTTCGGAAAAGCATTAAGCTTTTACGAGCAAAGTGATCGCATACACAAACTGGCATATATTCCATTTAAGGTCTGATTCTAGTATTATTTAGATTACAATGTGAAGTATGGGTTAAAGACACAAATTTTAGGCAGAAGGTTTTGGATACTGTTAATTGTTGGGACTGCAGTCACTCAGTTGTAGTATTTTCTTGTGCTGTTTATTATACTGAACAATGTGTCTGTGTATGTAGGTAGGTCTTTGTTTATTTTGGATGCATATTGGAAAGAACATTATTTAAATGCTACTCATATACTTCCCTCAGCAAACAAAACTGAGCATAGTATCCTTAGGATTGAAAGATTGTCTCAAATAAGTAACGTATAGGTTGCACGGCTATAGAGATAATTATCTGCTGAGAATTTGATATTGAACTTAGATTGTCATCTGTTCTTTGACTACTATTGTTTGGTCATTTCTCAATTATATTACCACCGTCTCCATAAAACATGCTAAATTGATGTTATTTGTTTAAGTCTTTCTTTTTGGGCATCAATGGAACGTAGTTAAAGATACAAGGCCTGTTTAAGATATGGAGTTGCAAGAAACTTTTTAGCACGGACAATCAATTTTATCTGCCGGGATTTTGATGTCTTTTTCACCAATGTGAATGTCTAAGCTGAATATCTTTCAGGGGAGAGTGAACCTGCGAAATCCAGATCATAAATTCTGCCTGATGGATAACGATGATTATGGAGAGAATAATGGACTCCCTCCCATTGTTCAAAGAAGAATCTTTTTTGGTAGAGAAGTAGGGGCCGCTGATAGGAAGATATTGCAAACTTATCAGCTAAAGAGACGCAAATATCTTGGGCCAACAGCCATGGATGCCGAAATTGCATTCCTGATGTCAAACCAAGCGCAAGTCAAACCCGGGAAGCTTGTTTTTGATCCTTTTGTTGGTACAGGAAGTATTCTGATTGCAGCTGCTCATTTTGGCGCAATGACAATGGTTAGGATTTTTGGTTTCTCTGTTGAAACTCGTAATTGGCTTGTTCATGTTTTTGTCTAGTTAATTGGTAATTGTTTACACTTTCACTGATTTGAGTAATCCAGGGTGCAGATATTGACATTCGAGTAGTTCGTGATGGTCGTGGACCTGATTGTAACGTCTGGAGCAATTTTAAACAGGTCTTCAGATTTTATCCTCAAATTTAGAGAATTATTGCTTCATGTTTTCTGAACGTGATTACTGTAAGAAGCCCATCTTTTATTTTACTTTTATTCTCTTCCATTTTGATGTCACATATTTGGCTACTATATACGGTTCTTACATATATGCGAGAGTAATGA